GCTTTATTTTGTTGCCACATGAAACAAAAAATCTTACGTGTTACAGAAATTGTCTAGAAGACCTTCTAGATGTATAAGTCCTTCTAGACAACTTCTATTATATATTATATTATTTATTCAATTTATTTCTTCTCCCACCAATTACAATTTTACACATCATAAATAATACCACAATTAACACCAGCCATTGGAGAACACAATTTTTTAATTTTCTTTCTCCATGTCATACAACACAATTTCTATTGGAGATGCCCTAAGGAGTTGTACCAATTCAAAATTCAAAACAATAACGACTCTCTTTCTTTCTCTTCCTTCTCACTCTTACTTCTTGTTCCACGTCATTTTCTCTCTTCTTCATCATCTTCATCATCAAACATGAATGTCAAATAATGAAACAACAAAAAAATAATAATAATCAATTGGTTCTATACATCCATAAAAATTAGAATTACCTAAAAACAGCAGAAAGATTTATTAAATGAAATTATTTAAATCGATGGGGCCCGATCTCCACCGACACGTCCTCGACAATCTCAACGCGAAATGGCATTGATTTTTTTAAGGCAACCTCCGTATACGTCAGTTCGGTCATTGACTTGGTCTTTGAGGAATTGGTCGATGAGTGTTTGTCCCATTTTTGTGTCATTATTTTGGGTTTATTTCTCTTTATTTTTCCCCACTTATAGGATTTTCGTAGTTTATTTGGTCCAATTCTGTGATTTTTTCCGTTTTTCTTTTAGTTCGTTTTGTGCATCTTTTTGCTGCGTTTTGCTTCGTGTTTTCTCTGTGTTTGTGTTTTCAGGAGGTAGGTTGTGTCGATCGAGGACGGGACTGCTAGAGCTGAGACCGAGATATCACGAATACCCATTGATGTGCTCAGAATACTGAAGGAAGGACCGAAAAAACAGACCGAATAGCTGCCAGAACGTCTCGCGACTCGCGAGAAAGTCGCGACTCGCGAGAAAGTCGCGACTCGCGAGAAAGTCGCGACTCGCGAGATAGTCACGACTCGCGAGTCCAACAGAGCCGAAAAGAACAATTTCGCGAGGCGAGTCGCGACTCGGAAGTCAAAGTCGCGACTCGCGAGATGGAGTCGCGACTCGCGAGCTATCTCGCGATTTTTCCCAGAATTTATAGTTTTTGTTGACGCGCGACTCGCGAGATTTCGCGACTCGCGAGATGGACTATTGGTAAGTCGCGACTCGCGACTTATGTCGCGACTTGCTCGGCGCGAATTTCGAGGTCGGGAATTTTAGTTCAGAATTTCGACCTAGACATCATTATTGACGTTCTAGACTTCGTTTTTTGGCTTTTTCTCTCTAGAAACTCATTCCTTTTCATTCTTTTGCACTTTTGATTGGATTTTAGAGATCAAAACTCTATTTTTCTTGCTTTGGATTGGATGTTTTTGGATTCAACATTGAACTATCAATATTAATCGTAAGTTTTCTTTTCTCAATTGTGTGATTGATGATGATGGCTTGGGTTTTTATGAGTTTTGATGTTGAATTCCATATGAGTAGCTAAATCCATTCGCTAGGGATAGGGGATGATTGATTAGGTTCGATAATAATTGCTTGATCTCAATTGTTCTTATCTATTCAAGTTGTGCTTATTCTAGGGTTAGAAGATTGATCACCTGTCTAATCTAATTAATCAACGTGTGGAACCGAAAGGGGAGGCGTTGGTTGATATAGGCTTGTTTAGAGTAGACTTGTTCGTAACTGTATTGTCTATGCGTTGCGGGAACTGATAGTTAATCGTTTACATTCATTCTCTTGTTCGTAACTGTATTGAGAGTGAACCCCTGAACGAGAAACGATTCAAGTCCTTTAACCGAGCAATTGATTGTCGATAGTTGTGTTAGAACTGAAAGCAATTATCCTCGATTCCCTAACTCTTTAATCATTTGAGTTCATTCGTTTGCTATTTAATTTGCTGCAGTAGTTTTAAGTCTTTAGCTGATAGTTTAAATCACCAAAAATTATTGAATAGAGTGTTTATGAATTTTATCTTTTCTTTCTCGTGATTGAATAATCGTACAATTGAATCCGACTAACTTTCCTTGCGATACAACCCGGGGACGAATCTTTCGATTCTACTCCGGTAAAAATACTCACAACAATGAGGTAACCGTTGGCCGCATGAATCTCCACCCCATCAAAACTTGCATAACATGAAATGTAGCAACATTGCTTTTGGGATTTTTTCTAGGTATTCTATATGGAAGGTAAATTTATGAGATTGTCGTGAGGAAGTGCATAAGGGATAAAATGTTTGGTTCAAATAAAAACTAATCCTGGTGTGACGAATGTGAGAAGTTGATGTTATTTTTTTGTTAATATTTTATGGTGTTATTATTTTCACGAATATTTATATAAATTGTGTTGCTATTTTTAATAAGATATATCTTGGTTACAAATAACACCAAAGACAATTAATCATAAAAGCACACATAAATAAGAAATGCAGTTCTTATAGTTCTCACGTTAAGACATGACTCTCAATTGAACATCTGAGGCACCAAAATGTTATAGATGTTACGACATTCATTTTGGTATTTTAGTGTATTTTAGTGTACATATGACACACAGTGATTTATTGTAGTGATGACAGCTCTATGAAAATATCTATGCGTCACTCTTAACATACAAATAATACAAACCTTATTTATTATCTGATACACGGATAATAAATATTCATTAATATTTTTATAAATTAAAATACTCGTTAAACAATATTTATAAATTAAAAATATAGAATCAATATGTAATATAATATACATATACTAGTTTATTAAAAATATTATATGAAATTTGAATTATACAAAATTACATAAATATTTTTATTTTTATTAACTTTCAAATATAAACTTTCGAATTAACACGTTCGATACATTGTACGGTACTGAACACACTAAAGAAAAATTTGATTAAGATAGGTAGAGTATCAATGAAATGGGATCTAATTGTGAGATTTGATGTTAATTACTAAATAATTAACCTGTTTCGATTTCGCAAAAATAAAATAAA